CACACACACACCACACACACACACACACACAAAACAATTATATATTATTATATTATATAACATATTAACAACTCTTTCCCTCTATCTATCTATCCGTATAACTCTCGTCTATTTCGTTTCTCGTTCATTCTATGTATAATATAATCAGAAGTTAGATAATAGAAATCGTATCAGTTCCCTATTACTCTACATTCTGAATATATATATATATATATATATATATATATTATTTTTTATATCACGCACGCACACATGCACACACGCACACACGTGTACCTGCACACGCACACACACACGCACGCACGCACGAACGTGTACCAGCACACGCATGCAGGCACGTACGCACGCACGCAGGCACGTATGCATGCACGCATGCACGCAGGTGAACGTGCACACGCACGCAGGCACGCACGCAGGTGAACGTGCACACGCACGCACGCACGCACACACGCACGCAGGCACGCACGTGTGCGTTCACACGCACGCACGCACGCACGCGCGCACGTGTACGTGCACACGCACGCACGCACGCATGTACGCACGTGTAAGTGCACACGCACGCACGCACGCACACACGCACGTGTACGTACACACGCACGCACGCACGCACGCACGCACGTGTACTTGCACACGCACGCACGCACGCACGCGCGCACGTGTACGTACACACGCACGCCCGCGCGCACGTGTACGTACACACGCCCGCACGCACGCACGCACGTGTACGTGCACACGCACAAATGCACGCACGTGTACGCACGCACGTATACGTGCACACGCACGCACGCACACACGCACGCACACACGCACGCACACACGCACGCATGCACGCACGTTTACATACACACGCACGCACGCATGAATGCACGCAGGTGTACGTGCACACGCACGCACGCACGCACGCACGTCTACGTGCATATGCATGCACGACTTATTCACCGGCGATTTCATCGCCCGATTTCATCGCCTAGTGTGTCCACTCGACTCGCGCGATAGAATCGGGCGATTTAGTCGCCCGATTTAGTCGCCCGATTTAGTCGCCCGATTTAATCGCCTAGTGTGTCCACTCGACTCGCGCGATAGAATCGGGCGATTTAGTCGCCCGATTTAGTCGCCCGATTTAATCGCCTAGTGTGAACGGCCCTTAAGCATGCACTGAAGCAGCGCGAATTAACACTGAGACCAACTGGGGCAATTTTAATAACAATATATTAATAAGATTAGGCAAAAACTTGTGTTTAAATTGAATGATTCGCGCACACAAATGATTTGATAGCGGTTAATTTCGGCAGCATTAGCAGTCATGTTGCCGTAAATCCTTGTGAAAAGGTACGACAATGTGTTATTCAAAAAATATTTACGTTTATGCGCCGAGTCAATGATGTGTTTTGCCTAAACGTAGTTTTACTTATTTTGGCTTACTATATCGTAATGGTACAGCCAGTTAATGTCTTCAAGGGTTGGCTAGGAATTAATAATGAGCGTCTATAGTACTGCATGGGCTTCACGTCTGTTTGCTGCATCCTCTCTTTCTAATGTGAACACCGTTGACTTTTACAGGCATTCGGGCCCTGGCCGCAACACACAGCTGTCACGATCTCTACAACGACGCACACGGGTACACTTGCCGTAATTTCAGTCTAGTCATAAAAGAAGAGGAGTTTCTCAGCCTCTCCCGCGAAGAGATTCTGCAATTTCTGGGACCAGAAAATGCGCCAATAACGAGGGATGATAGCCTGTATCTGGCAAGTTTATATCTAAACCTACATAATCCATATTCACATCGATATCCACGCTAAATCGCTCTTCCCCCTTCCTCTCCCCCTCTAGGCCGAGCGCGTGTTTTGCAGATCATGACCTAGGGGGCTGCTGTATTTCGATCATGACTCTAGGGTGCGCGTAATGTTGGCGGATCAATTACGTGCTAGGCGTCGTGTTAGCCGACATGACAGCCTCTAGGGAAGCGCGTGTTCGACCAATTACCTCCTTTGGGTCGCGTTTTTAAGCGGACCATCGACTCTAGGGCGGGGCGTGTTTGTCGGATCATGACTCAGGGGGCGCGTGTTTGCGGACCATTACTCTAGGGCGCGTATTTCGGATCATGACTCTTGGGGTCGCTTTAGCCGACCAATGACTCTAGGGGGCGCGTGTTTGCCGGATCATTATTCTTGGGGTCGCGTTTAAGCAGGACCATGACTCTAGGGGCGGCGTGTTTGCTGGACCACGACCTAATCGGGGCGTGTGTTTTGCCCTGGACCATTCATCTAGGGGGCGCGTGTAGCGGGCCATGACTCCTAAGGGGCCGTGCTGTTCTGCGACCATTACCTCTAGGGGGCGCGTGTTATCCGGCCATACCAGAGGGCGCGTATTTGCTGGATCCATAGCCTAGAGGGGGCACGACCCTCCGGCCGGCCATATTCGCGCGCACGCTTACTCTGGGGGTCGCGTTTAGCGGGACCATGACTTCTAGGAGGCGCGCTTCTTACGCCGAATCATGACTAAGGGGGCGCGTGTCTTGCGGACCATTACTCCTGGGTGTCGCGTTTAGGCAGGTCATGACTCCTAGGGGCGCGTGTTATCGGGCCATCGACTCTAGGGGCGCTATTTGCGCGAAGTTACTCCTAGGGCGGGGCATATTGCCGACATCTACTCTAAGGGGGGCCCGATATTCTGCGCCGACCAATTACCTCTGCGTGTCGCGCTCTCTAGCGATCATGACCTAGGAAGGCCCCGGCGTGTTAAGCGGATCACCACTAGGGCGCGCCGTTTTGCGGATCATGCACTTCACGGCGCGCCGCGTGTTACGGGATCCATGACTCTCTTGTTCCGGACAGTATTAGCGGGAACGCATGACTCTCAGGGCCGCGTTTTTACGGATCGATCACACATAGGCGGAGAGAGACCATTACTGCGTCAGCGCGAGGCCGTGTTAGCGGGGCATACTCCTAGAAGGGACCGCCGTATTTGCGCGGCACCGATTACTCTAGGGGGGGGGTGCCATATCTATGCGGGACCCATTAACTGCGCTGGGGGGATAGGCTCGGCCGCGTTTTAGCGGGGACCGATGACTTTAGGGCGCGCGTGTTTAGCGGACCCCATGACTCAGGGGGCGCGTGTTAGCGACGATGTACTGCTAAAGGCCAGCCGCAGGCGCATATTTCTGCCAAACCATGACTCTAGGGGGCGCTGTCTTAGCGGATCATGACTTGCTGGTCTCGCTTTAGCGGCCACCATGACTCTAGGGGCGCGTGTTTGCGATCATGATCTCTAGGGCGCGCGTGTTAGGGGACGCATGACTCTACGGGGCGTGTGTCTTGCCGACGCATATACTCTAGAGCGGGGCACTCATTGCGACATTACTCCGTTGGGCCGCGCTACTCGCGGCCCATCTCAGCTCTAAGGGGTCGTGTTAGGCGCGCCGGACGCATTCTACTGCGTGTGGCGCTCGCCGGTTTCGAGTCGGACCATGACCTCTAGGACGTGTACAACATAAGCGTCCGCAAAAGTTCAGCGTTGCAGCTATATCGTGCTCTAGAACAAATTCATTCTTTAGGCATTTTTTCGCAGAAATCGCACTAGAGTGCGCAATAATTGCATTATGCACGCAAGTTATATGGCTCGTGGACGTCTAGAAAGCATTCGAAGTAAAGATGGTCCCTGTTTTGTATTGTGCCACTTCCAGCAAGTGGCGAGCCATGGCTCCGCCTGTCGCCCATTTTGTATGAAACGGATACCAGTTTTACTACTCTGTATCAATTCGCATCATAGAGCCTGGCAAAGTTTCGAGCGGAGCATAGAGCATCGAATCCGTAGTTATTTAACAATGAGGTAAAGTGTATGTTGTGTAAGCGCAGTAACAGGTGAGCATCGTTCTTAATTAATTCTGTTTAAGCTTATCCAGGCTGCGCCTTATGACCCCTCTACTGTGTTCACCACCTCTAGGGGCGCGTGTTCTTAAGCGACCAGTTACTCTAGGGGGCGTCGTGTTTGACGGCACGGCCTTACTCTAAGGGGGGGGGGGGTCATATTTGCGGACCAATACCTAGGGGGCGCGTGTTTGCGAGCCAATTACTCACGGGCGCTATTTGCGGCCATTACCCTAAGACAGGAGGGGGTATATTTGCTGACCATTACTCTAGAGGGCGCTAATTGGGGGACATTAACTTCTAGCGAGGCGCGTATTCGACCATTAACTCTAGGGACGCGCTAATGTGCGCAACGATTACTCTAGGGGCGCGGTATGTTGCGGACATTACTCATAGAGGGCGCGTGTTTGCGGATCATACTCTCAGGGGCGCGGGCTTAGGAGATTCCATGACCTTGGGGCGCGTGTTAGCGGACCACTACTCTAGGGGCGCGTACTTTCGACCATTACTCTAGGGGACGCGTATTTTGCGGACGATTACCTAGGGCGGCGTATTTGCGGACGATTACTTTAGGGGTGCGTATTTGCGGACGATTTACTCTAGGGGCGCGTGTTTTGCGGATCAAATGACTCTAGGGCGCGTGTTAGCGGACCCACTTACTCTAGGGACATCAGCGCAACATCACCAAGGTGTTGCTTGCAAGCGTGCAAGGTTCGTGAAGGATGCTACACCAGAGTGTGCTTTGCTGGTCCACTCCGGTTCGAGCACCATACGCGTTTAGCCCCTGTAGCCATCATTCATGATGCTAGAATATTTGGCACCTTATTAAATGTACTTTATCATATATTTTCATTGCTGGGGTGCCGTACGATTTAGGACAAGCTAGTACGGGTGGTACGTATGCTCAACTGATGGTTAGGTTCCAGATGTCAGGATGTATAGATGTCTGCTATACAAACGTCTTCCTCTACCTTGCGCATGGCATCGGGCATGATTAGCATTGCGCAAATGGACGCATAGGCATAACAAGCCATACAGCATGGGCGTGGGGAATTGACCTTATTGGCGCCGTGGGCAATGATAGCCAGAGGAAGTACCGTTTTGCCATAGCGCCTATATATGCATATCCCATGCTGAATGTGTCCGGAGGTTATCTGCTTAGTGTGAGACTATACTATAAGGTTTGCTGTTTACGAGTACGTGCCTGGTTTTGCTTTTGCTATGTTAAAAATGGCCAAGCACGGCTGTACTTGTTGGTAGCTATAGCTGGCAAGGGCGGTTAACCTTGCTGATCGCTGGAATTGACGGTGACAGGTTCACGAAACAATTAAAAAGAGTACGGAAGAGAACAGACAAGCACACGGTTTAACGAATACCCTTTTTCCACGTGTAACGAGCGCGGCATGCCGTCCTGTGGCCGAATCTTGTGCCACGCGCGGATGTTTCCTAGGCTTGTACCATTAATGTCCCTGAGAAAATCCGTCAAGTCAAGGGTAGCTGAGGCAGTGACTCAGGGTTGGGCTTCTCGGATTCTGGAGAATTCTTGCCCACCTCACACGAGCCATGTACGGCGCGGTCCTATATCGTAATTATTATATGGAAGTCACGCCGCAAGTAATACTCGCTAAAAATATAGGGCATGTCACTAAATGTTCGCTCATGCTGGACGAGCTCCACTGCCCTGAGGCGGCGATATCTGCAGACCTGTAACCTAAAATCTAGTTCTTGCAACACTTTCTTTGCATTGTTGAATGATGCATGTTAAGTTGTGTGGTAAGTATTGTGCAGCAGGTAGACTTATATCTACGCTAATAAGGAGTAAGCATATCAAGATGGGGAGAGAAAGCCTGGACGACAGCATTGGAGACGCAGCCATATAGGAACACATAGGAATAGAGTGATCTGGGATCACCCCTGTGTTGGAACGAAAACAATCGTGGTTATTATAACAAACTGTTAAGGATAAAGGACTGCACACAAACACCCCCACACCGGCACGCCAGTTTCCTGGACTCAGTCAAAGCACACCCTCTCTACACACCACACACACACACAGCAGGGCAACACCACCACACACACACCACACACGCACACACACACCACGCACGCACGCACGCACGCACGCACAGCGCCGCTAGCGCAACACACCACGCAAGCAACGCACGCAACGCACGCACAGCCACGCACACACACACACACACACAGCACACACACACCCACACGCACACATACACATATACATATATATCA